TGATGTATACGAAAACTTACAGCTAACTCGGCATTCACTACAAACTCTTTGTCCGTTTCGTAGACATCAAGAGCTGGCGCCCAAGAAGTACCGTTATTCGCGCTACGATTACCAGTACGAACATTTCCGCCGCGTTTTGCTGTATTCAGGTCTGTAAAGAAATTTGTACATACATTGGAAATTTGGTTTTCGAATTGTCGAAGTTCAGGATCGTGATAAAATAATGCCATTTTTATTAGTTGCTACGAGCTGTATTATTTGATGGTTTGTATTAAGAGAAGATAGCGTTTTTGTTTGATAGTTGTTACTTGTTTTTTATTGAAGACGAACGAATAACTCAGTATTTATAGAAAAATTTGATCATTTACATGAAATCTCCAGAAAATTCACGAGAAATTTCATCATTGTACATGTAAAAGCGCTAACTTTTACTTTTGGGGGTGATCTTTAAATTCCCTGATTGGTTCTAGAAATTTATCCCAAAGCGAGACGAAGAATTCTTTGACTAAGCATTGACCTTGTCGGTCTGCTCGTGGTGTCCGATAAGACATTTCCCAACTTGGATAGCCGTAGAAATCGGGTGAAAAGAAATACCCATTTCTTATGAGTTACCTTTGGGTAAATTTTTATGCCGCTATAGAAGAGATAATATTTTTATTTCGTTCGGAAAACATCCATATTTAAGAGATAATGTGCGTTCATGCGTTCATTGGACATAACTATAAAAACATTTTCGTTATGATCCGTGTTCGAGTCAATGCTGGGCAGATCTTAAACTAACCTCCGTGATGCCCACCTACTTGCCTTCGCTTAGAGATCTTTTTACTTCCTTTGACAAATTGACGAAACATATGATAAAGCAGAAGTATCGTAACGATTTCGTTGAACACCGGGTACAAGTTTCTGTTGGATAGTAATGATAATCATCAAAAACCACACTGCTGTACTAACTGCAGAGTAAGTTAAGAAAAAAAGCGTTGTGGAATTGATTTATTATTACAATACCCAAATAACGAGGATTGGACTCTAAACTTCTTATGTACCCTTAAAAAAGAACAAGCTTTTCCAGAATAAATACTCTTTAGAATTATTACTTGTTTACTTGATATAAAAGAAGACGATATAGATCTTACAGAAAAAACAAAAAAGCGCTTCAGCAAATGATCTCAGATGCGAAAAAGCAAATTTAGAGATTTATTTGGCCTTCAAATTTACCATCAAGAGCAAGATATGAGTTATAAATTGAAATCGTACCTTGTATGAATAATTCTTTATTTGCAAAATTAAAATTATCAGTTGGATTATCGTATTTGATTATGGATAGCGATAGAGTTGGATCAGTTAATACAAAATTAAAGAATTTATTATGATAATAATGATAATAACTCATAATAATCATTTTTGCCTCTCTCGAATCCAATAATGTAATAAATCCAATATCAAATTTTGGTGGGATTCGCTGTAATAAATTTACTTTCAAGCGATAAATCAGATGGTTAGTTAAGGTTGTAATTTTTTCCCCAGAAATTGAAATCAAACCTAGTCGCATGGATCGTATTGAACTGATTACAAGAATCTATTCTTCGCAAGATTCACAGAATCTTTACTTTTTTTTGCATTAAAATTCAAACGTGACAATTAATTGAAAAGATCCTCCAGACAACTACGATACTATTACGAATTAAAGCTGGATCGGATCATAGCGGGAAAATCAAAATGTCCAACAATAATATGAGCAAGTTAAAGACTCATTAATTAATAACAAACCTTG